TGACGATCGATAACATGGATAACATACTTAGTTTGAAATTAATGCAAAAGGTGAAGTCATCAAAACGACTAGGAAGTCTACAGCCTTCTCGGAATTCTTCCAAAATTTCAAGTCGCTTGCGTTCCTCAATAGCCAAAACATCCAAAAATTACTGTGGCAGCTCCAAGGATTTGCCTTTAGATGGTCTTTTAAGTGATTCTCTTTAAGAAAAGGTCCAAGTTAATCGAATCAACCGTGGGAACAAAATCGTATAAAAAGTCACACACCAAGCTGGATTCTTTCAGCAAGAGCTCCTTTACTTAACCTACAAACTTGATGATGTCTGTAGAGTAGTGACTAAAGGCAAAAAGGCTGAAAAAAAAACACACACACGAAAAAACGCATTTCTTGACTTCTTGCAGTACAGATTTGAACCAAAACAAACCAACTGTCAAAGTCAAGAATTTAGCTTGAATATGCAAATCAAGGATATTTTACAGTCTAGTGATCAGTTGTCAAGTCAAAGTAGTCCGTGGGTCATTTTTTGTTCTTTTTAGAAATAAATCATGTGAAATAAGTACTGAATAAGATTATTTTTAAAACTGAAAATAAGTGATTGAAGTGATTTTCCAATTTATCGAAAATTTCAAAAAATACCCTTAAAAGTCACTTTTGGACGTTTTCGCAGACAAATTTCCCAAAAAGTTTGTATGGAAAATAAGGCGCCGAATGACAAAGAAAATTACAGCAAGTATGATTCATACAATAAATTCACAAACTCATAGATAATTAATGAGTTATTAGGCCAATAGAATGAGCCTATTTGGTCACATGCATGGACCTTTATATCTGATAAAACATTCCTTATTAGTATTCTGTATATAAAGAATAATAATTTAGAATCACTTTCATCTGGAATTTCTGTAAGCGCCTTCGTCACGGCAGCATGACTTATTCTTAGCTCTTCTTAATATTTATTTTTTTTACACAATTTTSTATTTCTTATCGTWTTTTTCGTTTTAGAAACAAAACGGTTTTGAATTTTAGTCAAAGTTTTAGCATTCTTTACAGAATTCTAGCCTTTTTTAGCCGAGAGAAAATCAATTTTCTGGACAAGTCGTTGGACGTTATGCCTGACTTCACTTATCGTAGCTCAGTTTTGGACCTTCTTCAACGCAGTAACAGCTATGACGGGAACTATATCAATGTGAATACAACACCAAATGACTATAATGGATATAGGGGAAGAAGATCAGGAAGGAAAGTTAAAGAAAGAGAATTATATCGAAGAAATAATATCGACATAGTTACTACGCATCGTTTATCTCGTCAATTTGCATATGAAGAAACCAGAACTGTTAACAAAAACAACATCATTAACATACCGTTAATTGATTCTCAACAATCTCAATCTCCTCAATCCGATTTATATTGTAAACAYTCAACTGAAMTCAGGAAAGATGCAGTTATTCGGCAACCTGAATCCACCTACAACAGAATAACAAATTCAACCACTGCAAAGTTAACTGATAAGTCTAAATCCAAGAAACAGAAAAAGCTTTCCCATTGGAGAACTATGACTTTAAATGTTCAATCTTGCTCAGATAAATATGAAGATCGTTTAGACGATGTATTAGAACTAGCATCTGAACACAAAATAAGCRTTCTGGCACTAACAGAATTTAGAAGAACGTCAAAAGATAGCAGAACTATTGAAACTAAAAATGGTACTAAATGGGATATCTTCTGGAGCGGTTGTGAACGTAAAAGAATACATGGAGTAGCTATTGCTGTTAAACATGATCCTAAACAGAGAATAATGCAAGTTTGTCAGATCAGTCCGCGTATTATGTGGATAGACCTTCAGTATGTTGGAGTTGACATTAGAATTTTCTGTCTCTATGCACCCACCAATTGCCCAACACTACCGGGAAATGAAGCCCAACGATCAGACTTTTGGCGAACCTTGCAAAATGAAGTAGATCAAATACCTCGAAAGACAGAAAAGCTATTCCTTGGGGATTTAAATGCTACTACAACTTTAGTCAAACATCTTCAACCAACACACTTTGGACGAAACAAGATCTACTGTACCAATTTCCAATGTAACGAGAATGGCGAGGCAATGACAAACTTTTGCGTCAGAAATTCATTGGGGATATTAAACACCTATTTCAAGCACACAAAGAACCACTTAGTGACTTTTCACAGTAATGATGGTCATACCATTAAAACTCTAGATTATGCTATTGCATCTCAAATGCTTTCTTCCTATTGCCTGGATTGTCGAGTAAAGAACAATTACTTGAATGGAACGACCCTAAATAGTGATCATAGATGCCTTATTCAACGCTGGGCTATCCCTCTTCTTAAGAATGATCGACTGAAACCAAGACGAAACTACTCAAAGAAATCTTCAATAGACTATAGCAGTCTAAAAGATCCTAAATTACATCAAAGATTTATCGAGAATTTGGTTAAATTAAAAGTGCTACCCCTTCAACATCAAAGCATCAACTGTCAAGTARCAACAATCACTGAAGAACTAACTGACACAGCCGAAAAWATTCTGCCTAAAAAGATGACTGGGTGCCACGAACCTCTACCTTGGCGAGACGATGATGAGTTAAGCAGACTTAAAGAAGAACGCAACAAGCTTAACTATCCTACTGACAAAATGCACTACCGGCGATTATCAAAACTTATCAAAAACAGAGCTAACCAGCTGAAGAAAGATTTCTACCAAGCTAAAGCTAGTAACATCAATGAAGCAGCAGCATCTAGAGATCTGGAAAAGTTATTTCGAAATGCTAAACAACATAATGCATTTAACAATAAAGCCTCCCTACCATCAGTATGTAATGCACTCAAGGATCACTTCCAGCAACACTTTAACAAAGCAATTCCATCAGAAATCCCTCATGAGTTAGTCAATATGCCTGCACACATATCAACTTCACTGCTACATATTCCAACTGATTTTATCAATGGTGATCCACCTGACGAAACCGAAGTCATATCTGCCATAAAACAACTTAGACTTCGTAAGTCAACGACWGATATACCTGCAGAACTTCTACAAGYCCTAATATCGGATACAGATAGCATACGTGCTATTACTAATCTTTATGCAGATATCTGGCAACAAAAAGAGATACCATCTAGTTGGAAATATTCTAGACTAAAGACTCTTTACAAGAACAAAGGTAAAATGAACGATCCAAAAARTTACCGTGGACTGTCCATCAGCTCAACACAGTTAAAGCTAATTTGTGTGATAATCCTAAATCGTCTCGATCAATGGTATGATAACAACCTTCTGGAGGGCCAATTTGGCTTTCGCTCAAACAGAGGCTGCCAGGACGCCATATACTGTCTGAAAAGGGTCCAACAGATATTTCATGAATCAAACGAAGATCTTTATGTTGGTTTCATCGATCTGAAAGCCGCGTTTGACTGGATACCTCGAGAATGGATGTTTTGGAGCTTAAAGAACCGCAATGTAAACCAAAATAAGAACCTAACTACCTTACTAGACCTATTACAATGCATTTATAATGAAACATATGCTGTGATGTCAGGTGAAGAAAACGAAGAGGCTTTTAAAACAACAAGTGGCGTAAGGCAAGGTGGCTGTGAAAGCCCATACTGTTTCAACTTATATCTTGACTATATATTACGAATCTTTGAGTACGAATGTCAACACGAAAACCTACATATCACAATTCCTTACAGAATACCCAACGAAGCAAGTGATCGTTCACAACGTTCAGAAGAGAAGGGCTTTGGAGTACTATCTCTATTATGGCTGGGATATGCAGATGACTTGGCTATAATAACTAACTCAGCTGTAAAACTCCAAACTGCCATGGAAAATCTCTACAATATATTAACAAGATTTGGCCTACAGATGTCGCTGGATAAAACCAGAACCATGGTTATGTCTGATAAGTATGATGAGACAACATATCCTGAAACGATTTGTACAATTAACAATGAGAATCTCAAAAACGTCGAGACTTTTACTTATCTTGGACAGAATTTCACATACAATGAGGCATATACCCCAAACTGCGAGATATGGACAAGAAAGTTCTCGGCTATTAACACCTATTTTAAAGATGAACTATTCTACAAAAATCACGCTGTCTCGCTTGTAACAAGAAGAAAGATATTCGACTCTATGTTTAGAAGTAAACTTACGTATTCATGTCAGACTTGGTCGTTACCAGAAGCTTCTCTGAACACTTTTACTGCTACATACAACTACTATCTACGTAATTTAGTAAGAGGAGGACACAAGAGAAAGGTACCCCAATCTAGTGATTCCACAACTACCCCACAAGATACAGATATGTCTTATATCCTAAATAACCAGCAAATTATACAATACAGCATGGCAACACCATTGGAGGAATTTGTCCATAATCAACAACTAAAATGGTTCTCGCACATCGTACGCTCATCAAATATAAGATACATTAAGAAACTAACGTTTTCAGATGTAACAAGGAAAAGAAAAGGTCAACCTATGAAGACACTTTTAAGAACAGTTTATAAGCGATTGAACGATTACGAGCCAAGTCAAATACTGAAAGCCTGTTTCAGGCGAAAGGAAAACAGTTTRATYWGTAAAGGTTGAACGTCATTCAAGTAGAATGACAGCTAAATGTCTCTTAAGGAGGGACGGGCAAATAATTGATTGATTGATGCAAAGCCCATGATCATAGCAAAGGGTGTCAGGTTTGATACCTGATCATTGACCAATGCAGGTGTCAACACTTTGAGGTTGTGTTTTATCAGGCATAAGGATTTGTGTTTTAGACACTACTACTTCATATACAACTTTGATGTTTTATTCAATTAGTGTAGTTATGTATCAGATTTATACAGCTTCAAAGCAATTGTCATCTACAATGTGGCTGACCATGTAAACATTGTTAATGTAGTCTGAGATAAATGTTTAACTCAATTTTTCAAAAAAAATTATAATGTACTCACTTATTTCCATGCATTTTTAGAATTCAAGATGAACAAAAACCTGAAAACAGTGAATCAAAAAAGTTAATCAAACAGACAGATAATGATGACAAGATGGAAACCACTTCAGGCACAGAAAAAAAATCAAACACCTCCACACAGGAAACCTTAAGCCACCCACTCCAACACACTCATCCTAACCAACAAGATATTTCTGTACCAAAAGTTACCTGGACAGAGGAAGAATGTGTCACCATTATTTTTCATGCCTTCTTGTCACCTGAATTTCACTTCAAGGTAGACAAGCACAAAGTTACTGTACGTTTAGGTCTCTATGAAGTTGGAGGTTGGAAGTATAATTGTACAGATATGTTTAACGTAAGGTAATGATTTCCAAAATACCCATATTTAAAACTATTTTTATAACGATCAGAATTTCTTCATTTGATTATGTACTTCACATTCATGAAATATCTAATGAGATGTGGAGGTAACTTTCTGTCAAGGCTTAGTCTTAATTTGTATCAAAGAGACCTGGCTCTTAACAGTCAACAGTTAACAGTCAGTATCAACATTTTGCAATTTGCATATCAACTATTGTCAGTAATATTATTGTATAATGCAACAGCCATTTGGTATCCATTTCTTTTGGTGAGTTTTGTAGAAATATACCAGAAGGAAGATTTGAGTTGCCTTTAAAATTTATTGAGACATACATCTCTGCATCTTAATGGGTATTTACGAAACTATGATTACCGTATTTACTCAATATGTATAAGACACACTTTTTTTCGAAAAAAATCATTCCCCAATCTGGGTTGCGGCTTATCAACGAGAAGAAAAATGCCCGAAAAAAGCTAATTTGCATAAATTAGCATTCACTATGCTACTTACTGCAGATAATTGGCGGCGTATTATGAATTGTCGAGGACATTCAGTAATGTAATAAGTTTGTTTTACGCGGCGCGGGCAGGAATATTTTAATGCAAATGTAGTACTGTTACTATAAATTCGCCGAACTTCTAACTCTGACAAAAACACAAGTCAATAAATAAATCAAACTGAAAAGGGCGTGGTTATTGAGCCAATGAACAGAGAGCATTTTCAATCGTTTTGTCTTGGAGTTGTTTTGGTAACGCGATACTAATTTGCATTGTTCATTTAAGCGACTTTGTCACACTTAAAGTGAAGAATCCAGGGTAAATATTTTGAATACCCAAGAAATAAGCCTAAGAAATTGTTCCTTATATTAAACAAATACAATCTCCTTTAATATTTTTTTGAAGTACGAAACGGTTTCGGCACGATCCTTTTGTTTGGAAGTTTGGCGGTACGATGAGATTTATATCACTTAATTGCTAGTTTGCTTTTACCCTTTTGAATAAAAAACAACTCTTTAGATATAGTATAAATTATCAATCTAAACAATTATTTCTACATGATAATTTCCCAGAGCATCATAGTACTCCGCACGTTAATTAAACTGATCGTAATTGCATACACAATGCAGTGGATCACGGAAATCGAGCAGAGGGAAATCCTTTGAAATAGAAGAAATCTGTGTTCGCAGGTGGCAATCACAAAGAGAAAAGTTTATTTTCCGTCTATTTTTCCCTCAAAAACGTCCCCAAAACTCGGGGTGCGGCTTATTTACGAGAGCGGCTTATACATGGGTAAATACGGTATATATTATACTATATACATCTAATAAATTAATAATTGTTATTTCTAAAATGTGAAAATTGGACAAAAAGAAAAATGAAACAAAGAATCACTATTTCCTTATTTATAATACTGTAGGAAAGTCGAGGACAATTTCATACGAGTGCAAGGTGAAATGCAACTTCCTGTCAAATTTCTCCAAAAACCAATTGCTTATAAGTATGTTGTAATTGATGCTGATGGAAAGGTGGACTGGGAACTTTCAGAGTATTTTGACAAACATCATGGAATTGTAGATCGCTGTTTAGTTGTAATACCAGACTATAAGCATCAAAATGGTAAGAAGTATACATGTACAGCTACTTCCAAAAAATTTGATTACTGATACTGAGTGTGACAAATTGGATTAATGCATGTAAAAAGTAGGTGTACTAAAATGACACACACTTTCAATATTTGGTTTGACTTACCAGGCACAAAAGAATTGAATTGAAGTTGAATTGAATTATAGTCAATTCGTTTTGTTTTTCCAGAGCTGGGTTTAAATAGTACTAAATACTAAATACTTGCTATCATAATTATGGTTAGACCTTCAGTTCCCTTTTTGGAACAAATAGTTTCTATATGATGTGCAGTCAAGGACTGCTTAACCCAGACCCAGAAGAAAGTCATTAGCATTAGCATTAGAGAGTGGCTGTGTCAACTTTGTGCAAAGAAAAAGTCAAGCAAAAATCTTAACTGGGTAGTGTCATATTCTTTGTAAACAGAACCTTCATTATCTTCAGCAGTTTCTTCAGTTCCTCGGGTTGGGATGAGGTTGGCCGTTAGCTTGAAAAAAACTATTTATTTTTAATTTTGTTGAGGTTGTAGTTGAAGTCGGCAAATCAAAATACTATTTGAAATATGAAAGCAGTAATAACAGTTGTTCTCACCCTAGTCCTGAGGTTAAAGAAAGTAGTTAACACGGCGACTATCTAATGCAATGTCATCTTTGTTGGATAGATGGAATCTATTTGTTTTAATTGTATGTGTGTCATTATATAGATACCGCTGGAAATCACTATTTATTGACAATTTATACGGTTGAAAGGTCATTTGTGTGACCAAATTGGGATGCACCAGTTGATCTTTTATTAATTTTTAAAATATATGTAGCAGCATAAAAGGGAACTAAGAATTAAGCTCAATTTCATGCACTCTTTGTCAGAACACGCAGTTACAAGGGCAAAATATGACTGTTAAATGGTAACACTCGTTTTGCGTTGCAGCTGTTTGGCATCAGTATGATGGTTTGGTCTACCCTGACTTTAGAGTTGGTTCACGTTGGTACAATCCTTTGACTTGGGTATCTGGATGGAAGAACAAATTTGACCATGCCAAAGTAGTCAAAAATAGAGAACATGCTGCCATTTCTTTTCTTCCAAAGTGGGAAGGGTTTGTTATTGGAGGGCAAATTGAGCAAATAACAGCTTTAGAGGCTATCGATAGGATGAAACATCTTAAGGAATGTTTAGCAAACCCATGGATTTCTGTTAGTAACTACGCAATAAAGAAGCAAATTCCATTCAGGGATTTTCCTTTTCAAAAGGTAATGTACGTAATATGAAGCAAAATGACGTTTCAAAATGCAGCAGGGATTGATCAACAGTTTATCAGTGTCACTAGTTTCTCTTATTTCATAGGTGATAATTATTATGAATATATATCTATAGAAGCACTGCACCTTTCTTTGAGTGTTTCCGTGTTGGTTAGTTACCAATGAAAAAAAAACACTCTGTGAAGAAGTCACAAACTCTTCATTATATATCGGTACTATATTTGTAGGTGTAATGAGATCATCTAGATGTGAGAAGTCTTGAGAAAGACTTTTATATTACTTTATGTTACTCATAATATCAATCTGATTTAATAGCATTATAATCCCTCTCTTTTTAGATTCTTAAAGACTTTCTAAAACCCAAGATTTCAAGCAATGCTAGCCTAAAGGAAGATGAGCTGAAAAAACCTGACGTTCGTAAGGGGAGACTGATATCGAGTCTTACCATAACTCATTTGGTTTGCATCTTTGATTTAGATCTGTCTTATGCTGAACTTGCTGATATCATTCAATGCCTTGTAATTGAGATGCATCATGGCAATGGCAGATGCGACTTTGATGACCTCCACATGGAGTTCCCAGAAAACACTTGGGGGTAGGTGGACAAAATAAAAATATATCATGCAATTTCTTGTTGTGGGTACTATGAACTCAATCAAGTAATAGAATTTCTCGGTTTTAATTATGTTTACCATATACCATATACTAGTCAGTGCTCATAAAAGTTTTGCAAATTGGAGTTGCACACTACTGTTAGAACAAAGTTTGTGATTTGATAAAATAACAAAGATAGACAGGCAGTACAAAAATCGAGATGTCCAGCAGAACAATAGGCATTGTGAACACTACCGTCAGAATGAAGCTTGTGATTCATTGAGACAACAAAAACGAAGAATTGTAGGATTATGTCAGACAATGCCTATTGTTCTACTGGACATCTCTTTGTTCTAACAACAATTCGTAGTTGTCGACCAACAGATTGTAATGCAATTGGTATAACTTCCACACACTCGCAATCCAAATCATGTTACATCAGATTATGATTGCAGTTTTATTTGTTCATAGGGATCTCTCCAAGTCTGTTGTTCATTTACTGAACGCTGCTAAGCAAAAATCTGGATACACAAAGTTTTGTCCTGATATCATCCTTGCTGTGCCACTTCTTCACTTTCTTCGCATGGACACCAAGCCATTTGCTAAGTGTGATGATGACAGTGATGGTGCAAAATCAGTTGATAAATGGTGCCATTTAAACGATCTTCCTCGTTTTAATCCATACAAAAAGCAAGTAGCTTTTTATTTCTTATTTCTTTCCATTTACTAAATCACAATACTCCTTTTTCGAATTCAAAGCGAATAACTGCTGTTTTATTTGACAGTTGCAGATTCTCTTACGCAAAAATCTCTCCAAACACAAAAGAAAGCACGAGAAAATGTTGTTAGTACAATAGTGCTAAACAATTAATATTTTCCCGAGTTGAGGCTAACCCTGTATTCCTAGAAGTCTCCTACCTTAGGTCTTATGGGTATACAGGGTAGTCTCAACTCGGGGAAAATGCAAATTTTTGAGGCTATTGTATTGTGTTTGGTCGGGTCTTTGCGCGAGAGAATCTGTTGTCAAATAAAGCAGCCGTTTTTCGCTATAAATTCGAAAATGGAGTATTCAAAGATGAATGCCTTTAATAGGAATTTCTTCCACAGACTTGTTGAAGGATTCTTCACCAAAGTACAGTGGATGTTTGTTTTGGATCCCTATTTGCGACGTCTTTTTCTCTATTATGTTCCATTTGAAGACTTTGATAAGATGTGCATCCATGATAAATTTCCAATTCATGATCTTTGCAATGCATTGGGTTTTAAAATCGAACATGAAAGGAAATATACATTTTCTTCCAAGGTATGATGTTTGTCAGTACAGTGCCTTATTTTGAAAGACGTGTTGGTCTTGTGGTTAAGGGATTAGACTTTGAGTTTGTAGGCAGGATATTTCATTCAGTGCCTCTCTCCGCTCAGGTTTGTATGCAATTACCGGAAATTGCTGGGGTAATGTAGGAGTAGCATCCACTTTAATTACCATTCTCGGGTTGAAGCTATGGCTGGGTTTCGTGCAACTACAATCAACAACTCTACTTTACTTTTATTTTATTTTGCAGTTGCAGATGATAGAGAAAACTTTGTCCAGCCTGAGAAAAAGGATTCAAAAAGAGCTTGCTCAAAGGTCTGTACATTATTGATTATCATATGGTTTGTGTTTTACAAATAAACAACATTTTTTTTGTTTTAACAAATGTTTCTGGTTCTAGTACGGTAGTATGAACTTTTCAGAGTTCATGAAAATGCAAAATCTGTTGTTAATTTTGTTTTGAGAAGGTAGTAGGGGAAGCTTTTATTTTAATTGACATTTGATTTTGCCACTTCTGTAGGAAACACCTTGATGCAGAGATCATGCTTCAGGCAAAATCAGGATATTTTCTGGCAACAGAACTCTTCAGAAAGAGTGAATCCATAATCAATGAATCATTCTTTCTGTGCATAGAGATTGTAAGTCTCATTCTATCAAGCACCCAGGAACTTGGTGATGAAATGTCTTCTCCTGAATATAAGTCCCGTAAAGAGGAATGTGATGCAATTTTCTTTAGTCTAACTAATGACATAGAGATTGCAATTGAAAAGGAATTTCGTTCTAAATTTTCACTCATTGAGTCTCGACAGAAAGAAGAACTAAAGGTATTTTAATTTTGATACTAAGAATGAAGGTAAATTTTCAACTTCAATAATATGTCTATGATTTTCTGGTCCGTCATTTCCAGATTTGGACCAGGTTTCTCGAAGCTGATTCTTTGAAAGGAAAGCTCAGGGATAAATGGTGTGAGACACTCTTGTCATACTTTGTTAAAAGGCTGAAGAAGGTGATGTCTTTTGGTCAAATTTGGCTTCAAGTTTCTTTTTGTTATTGAATAATTATGACCTTGCAAAAAATGTCACTTTTCTGCTATTTGGTAATTTTTCCTTTTTATTTTCATCAACAGCTTACTCATAATGATTCTATTGATCTTTACTGTCGGGTGGATACAGCAGCCGACAACATCAATCAAAGTATCATAGATGCTATCACGAACCATGCCTTCAATGAAGTTGAAAGAACTGTACAGGTTGGTTAATGGAGAGTTTAATCAAAAAAGTATTTGCACTTTTTCTTGAGGTCATGGTCACCAATTTAATGTCAAATTGACTTTCGAAAGATGTTTTTCCCCAAAGATTTAACAAATCAAACTTACTAACATTTTGACTGGACATTGTGTGTTTACCCGTTATTATTTTTTATCATTGGAAGTATTCTAAGTACTAATAATAATAGCGAGTATTTGCATAACAATAGATATCCCATCATGCACCATTATGCATATATAAGCAATCACTAGGGTATTGTGTCAGTCTCATCTACGACGCTGGCGACACATTTTCGAGTTCCACCCACCCACCCAAACATACACGCGGATATTCCGCTGTCCATAACCATGGACAGCTTCCCTTTTTCAAGACTTCCATATCTTAATGTAATACTCGCGTGTATTATTAGTACGTGAATATACTACTATTTTATGAACTGGCCATTTCTTCATACTCAGAATTTAAGGTTTCATCTCGCTGTCTCTAGAGTGACATTTATCTATCGCATTCATTTTTAGAGCGGAAAAAACGAAAGCTCCATTTCACTACTGAGAAAGAAGTGTTTAAAGGACGGTGTTTCATCAAGAGCAGGGGAATTACTATCTCGCATGATAATCACTTCCTGGAACAAAGACGTTTCACATGGCGGTCTGACTGTCCACACACAATTATTGTACATCCTCAGGTGGAAACACTGGCCAGAATTCATCAGTTCATTTGGTATTAACTTTATTTTATGACTTGATAATATGTATTCAATTACTAATCCTCAACAGGTACCTCCCATTACATTCTTGAAAATAAAAAATAATAATCTTAATGGCGCAAAGAGGCAGAGGGAGGATGGATGTTAAGAAACAATGTGTTTCTCTTATTGTAACTTTATCATTTTAATTCCTTGAAACATTTCTGTGTAGGTTCAGCAGAAAGCCAAAACATATTGATGCCAGATGCAGCTAAACTTGTCAAACGTGTTATTGATCACTTGTGTAGAATCCAGCATACTATTCGAAATAGATCAATAGATGTGCAAACTATGGTATCATTGGAACAACATAAAGATAATTTTAGAAAGCTCTGCACTGCTTTGACCAAAGTTGATAAAGATTCTGAAGATTCGCAAAGTTTCATTGAGACTGAAACGGTCATGAAGGAACTAGAGAAAAGAAGTGAAGAACTGCGCCATTTCCATGAACTCAAACGCCATGTTGGAAATTTTCTTAACATGTGCAGATCAACAAAAGAAGGTGATTGAAAATTGAAATCTCAACTAACTATGATAATGGTTATAATTATCGTTATTGCTAGCGGTTTTTCTCTCGTTTTAAACAACCATTTCCTGAAAAAATGCATATGTTCAATAGGCCCTTTGAAGCTGGTGATCAAATGACCACACCTACCTTAAATCAATAATCTATCACAAAATGATGTTCAGAAATGGAAAGATCGAGGTGATCAAAATAAGTAAGAAGACATAGTCTCAAGTCTCAACTCTAAATACTTCAAAAATGACAGCAAATGTGAAATATTGATTTTTCTAAAGAAACGTATGGGAAAATAGAACTGGAGAACAAGACTTGCTCTCCAGTTCTGTTTTTGCATATGTTTCTTTAGAAAGAAATGATTTTAGGTAGGTGTGGTCACTTGACCCCCAGCTGCAAAGGGCCAATTGATGGACATTTTATTTGTACAACTGTATGGTAATTTGCATTTGTGAAAGTGCAATTCATTAGAAATTTAGGACAAACATTTTGATACTCATGTCTGGCCTTTGTTATGCATTGTCCTTAATCCTACTGCAAGAAAAGGCACAAAAAAGTCCTCTATTTCTGTAACTTATTAGTATGTGAGTTTGTAGTTATGATAACGTATAATCAATCGTCGTCATTGCTTCGTTATAAGCAGAGAGATTGGCCTAAAGCACGGCTGCTAGGAGGAAGGAACTCGTCTCCAGCAACCGCTCAAATTCTGGCCAGTTGATCATTGTTTTCAGAGCTGGATTTTGTCGACATGCAGCTCTCAACCATTTTCCAGCTTGAACCATAATAATAATATTTTGTTTTGCATCGATATTCCTTCTGCAAGCATGTGCTGTATATAGTAACTTTAATCGTTCTCTTCATCTCTACAGTGATATTCGATACAGCTGACTTGCAAAGATTGCATGAATGTGACATATCTGTAATAGAGATGAAAGATATTTGCAGTCGAGATTCAATGAGTGAAGAATACCAAGAGAACCAAATTACTGTTGTCTTCTTTGACTTGCCTGATTCACTTCGATCTGAGCTTCCTCAGCTTTCAGCATTTTGCAAAAGTGATCTTTTCCAATCATTTTGGAGACGAAATTCAAGGTCTACGTATAAAGAAAAACAAAACAACCAGGACCAAAAGGGTCTTAGTTTGACGGACATCCAGAAAAGTGTGTTCCAACCGTCTTTGGAAACGTGGAAACATCTTGCTCAAAAGCTATATAGCGGATTCATTTCTTTACGAGATATTGACAAGTATTTCACAAAGATAGACCTGCAGAAAGAAGTTGGAATCATGTTTTCATCATTCAAGATAACAAAACATGAAATGGATGTAACAATGAAKCAGAGGATGRAGCAGATCAAKCAATATCGGAGYCTTCAAAARTATATTGAGGCAACTGAAACTGTGTGGGAATTCAAGGAAGCACTYGAATTGAAGGGRGACTTTGAAATTGTAGAGCAGTTGCGGAATCAGGTAATACTCAATCAATCAATCAATCTCTTCGTCATTTGTGAACAACATTTAAGTCTTACTCTATGAGTAAACAAGTATTCTAATGTTCAGGAAGGAGTTACTTATTGAAAGAACCATTTCTTATATGAGATTTTTCAAAGAGTACTACTACAATTTTCCTTTGAAATGCAAAGAAACTCTTATTATTTGCTTGATGTCAGTCTTTAGTCATTTCTTCCACGAGAGATTTCCAATGACTTCTTTTCCGTGGATACAATGGATGCTTTAATGAAGATTGAATTTCTTTCTTTTTCCTCTCTATATTTATTACTTTTGTTTCAAATTCTTTTTTCCAGAGCTCAGCTGAATTCAAGGAGAAGGCACTCACTAGCATCGATTCAAAGTTTCTTCAAGCTGGGGAGTACTTGCAGAGTATTTCCATGGAGGAAGCTCATTGCCTACAAGCAGTGGTTGACTGTGAACCACTTGTTAAATGGTTACGAGAAACTATTAAAGGTGAGCTCTGCATCATCCTATAAAATTGCTACGAGAGCTCAGACTTTCAAGTTTTCATCGTGTAATTATATTTACGTAGTTTTGTGGAAAAGAATATCAACTGTCGGAATACTGTCAGTACTACTTGATTTTAGTAAGCCATTAGGCTATAGGTAAAACCAGACTCGAGAGTGTTCTTGAGGTCGCCAATAAAATGTGATTTCCAATTGTTACTTCCAACTTCTAAAATCTTGTGACTTTGTTGTCTTGTGTTAAAAAGTATTTGAGAGATGATTCCAGATTTCAAGCATAAATCTTATATTTTTAACAGGAAGTCTTTATTTTTTTCTTTACAATACATTATGTATTTTTAGACACAAGTGCGTTAAGTACCTTAGTAGACYTGGCAATGATTTCTGCTGGTGAAAATGACTTGGAAGTTGACCGTATCTCAAACTTCCATACAAGCTGCCTGAATTTTGCCCCGCTGATCTTTGACATCCGCAAGGATTCTGGCTTTGATGATCTTATGAAAGCTTGCCAACCAGTCTGGAAAGCTGTGGAAGCTGATAAGCATCTTCCCAATAAACTGGTTCGTATAAACGTGTTGGCTTGTTGATTTTTGTGTGAACTGTTCACCCTATAAGTGCGAAATTTAAGAAACTGAGTTTGTGAATTCACCTCTTTAGGGAAAAGGAAAATTGAAATGTACTAAGCGTAGTTTTAGAAAATTCCAAAAAAGGCAACCGAGTCAATTAATATCTCTTTATTAGGCGGTGTAATAAATTAGAAGTAGTTTTATCAAAACATTGGATAATTTTGAATGCTTTCTAACAGAGCGAAACATGCCAGCATCTTGATTGGCTGAAGGCTGTGCAGAGCTCACATGGTTCTGTGGAGATGTCTTCCCTAATGCAGACCAAGATTATCAACTCTTCAGGCGTATATCGTATTGGAAACATTGCACAATCTTTGGACTTCAAAAATGGATTGGAAGGAGTCCTTACACTCACAGTGCCCATGGATGAGAGAATACAAGACCCTAAAATTGAATTTGAAGAWCAAGAGTCTACTACCAAGGAGGATATGAAAGCATATTCCCTMAACGACCTGAAGACATTACAGAGCAAACTGATGTTGATTGCGGGTAAAACAGCACAGCTTCAAAACAAGGAGAAGAAGGATTCCATGGAGAGTACTGAAGAGATCAACAGATTTGTAGAGGTATATGTGAAGTAAATCCCGTTTTCTCACTTATTATAGGATTGCGGATACCAACAACATCTCTTATTTTATTTTTGCTCAGTATTTTTGTGTCATCTCCCCTAAAAGTGCGAAATATATTATTCACCACAGTAGTGTATATAAAAACCAAACTCTAAAAGAAAAAAAAGTCTTAATAGTTTTCTCGAACTACCAACTACAGCTGAATGATAGAATGCAATGTCTCTTTTACTCTCGTATTAATATTACWATCATGACATGCTAGTGATGTACTTCGACGTTCTTTTAGATCTTTGAAGGTGTAATGAGGCTCGGTCAAGTCTATATTGACCTCTGTGAGGCTGGGGATGTRAAATACTTGGAGTGGAGTGAAAAGATTGACTGTTYTGAAGACAGGCTCTTCATTGATCGTTCTGTTGGAAAGAAAATTGCTATCACGTGCAAGGAGATGGAAGAAAGGCTGTTGCAATGGCGACAATATGTGCATGAYAAAAGACACAAATACAAGGAATTGAACCATTTTTCTACTCAGCAAATTCTTATCATGAGAAGGGAACTTGGTTCTCTTCGTCGTGCTAGTGCCAGTATTAGCAATCTACCCCTTCATGTTCTTACGTTACTGGAAAGTGTCCTTAGTGGAATTACCAACCAGGATCTTGTTGAAGTGCTAAACAAAATCTCTGGATTTATATTAGTTGCCACWGACAGCATTTCATCAGAAACACCAATGGAAGAAAGCGAATTAAATTCAGCTGATCCACAAAGTAAGGGCAGTTCTTTCTTTMTCAGTTTGGAGAAAATGGATTATCAGGAAGACGTAGGAATTGCTGCCCTTAAAGCTATGAATGCCTTTGACAGCAARGAGATTAATGAAACAGATCTTCTTGACTGGTGCATGGAAAATGGTGATAATACAGAGATAATTGAATCTTTGGTTGAGCAAGCTCGTGAGGATCCCAACTTTGCAGAGTTTTTTCCTGAAATGATGGACAATCAGGATGATTTACAGGATGAAATGATGAGGTGAGATCTTTGTTTCAAATGGCACAATATTGGGACAGACATCAATGTTACCAGTGTTTCTATGTTTTCGTTTGAATCTAGCGACTATTATGTTTTCTTTTATTCATAGTGATGAAGGCGACAATAATCAAACAGAAGATAATTCTGAACTCGACATTGAACATGAATATTACCTAACTCTTAACGAACTTGGAACTGTTCTTGTAGAACTTGGAAAGCGAGGTGAGTATAGAACCAAGGTAAATGGTCAGTGCTGTGATCKTCATTAAAAAGACCAGCTTGGTTTATCTACAATACGTACTAAGCAAATTAAACATGAGTAAAGAGGAATTTTGAAAAAAGGGTTGAAATCCAAAAGCCACTTTTCACTGATACATTGCAAACGTTGCAAGTAGTAATACATGTTGGATGATGGATGTGAGATATTGATATTTTCAAATTTTGCTTAATGTTCATAGAATTATTGAAAACGTTTGGATTGGACACTCTTACCTTTGATTATAGTTTATTTGCATAATGACATGTAGAAAAGGTATTAGCCTTTCTATACATTTTTGATATGCTTGTATCTACAGGTGACAAGCCATCAGAAAGACGATTCCCTGACTATCTTAAGAATGACCAACCAAACCTCATCCTGGTGCCAAGTGGTAGGTCTTCAACAAGCTGTCTGCAATACTACATTGGAGAAGTTCTCCCCCCCCCCCCACAAAAAAAAATTCTCTATTCAAAATCATTTCGCATGCAAACCACCGTAGTTAAATCATACCATCGAGAGCGCAAAATGCTTTTTTTGTATCATGTTATAGATAAATAATATTCACTTGTTAAAACATGTTTTAGTGGATGTCTACCCAACAGTCCTAACACTGTACATGCAGTATGGAGGAAACAGTCTGCCGACTCCAAATGAAGTTTTGTTGTGCACATCTGAGACTTCAGCTGAAGAGGTTAARATATTGTATTTTGCTATATGCACTCGCGTCATTGGTTAATGTTTGGTATTAGTTATTTTTTTCTAACACTTCCAATTTAAATTAAGAAAAAGTGTACATATGTAGTGTTTATTACAGTGTTTATATATGTAGAAGAAAAGTATAATTTTTWCTAATTTTTGTCGGAACAGGTTGAGCTGTTCTGGTGGCGTGCATTTCAGGATACAAATAARCAGATATTTTGTTTAGTCAACCCAGATGTCCTTGATTACAATGTCAGCCAAACATCTGTCGCAATGTTCAACACTCTTAAGCAGACGTTTGGTTCTTCCCAAGGTAACTGAACTTTAATTTAGAATTATAATATAGAAATTACTTGTGCCATTCAAGACAAGYTCTAGTRACGACGKTAATATACAGTTACAACAACGTAACTACTCATTTCCAGATGTGTGAGAGAAAAACTTGACATATCCTTTTTTCTTGTTATTGTTTTAGTCATTTAGTTTATCTCAGTTTGATTATTGGTGCAGTAGATTACCTGTCAATCAATAGTAACAAAGATGACATATGYGGAAACATGTAAAGAATAAAAATGTTAATCGTATATTTGAAAGTCAACAAGTTCTCTATTTTATATTAGAACACAGAGTCGTTATCATCTGYAGCACTGAAAATGAAGATCGCTCTCACATTATTGCTGCTCTTGATGAGTATCGTCTGCATGCTACTCCAACCTGTGCCCTTGGCGATAYTTTGAAATCTTACTTGGAAGAGAAGCTGACCAGTACAGAATCCAGAAATGGATATTACAATAATGAAAAGATAGAATGGATTCCAGCTGCTCATCTTGATGCAAAGAGGTATGATGGTGTATGAAAGAGTAAGCATCTTGCTCCTTTGTAGGCCTTCATGATTTTTATGCATTGTTCTACMGTGAGATATTCCCATCTTAAATTGTGTCTTTTTTCCTACAGACTTTCAGTGAGAGTAATTTCATCCAATCGTGCAGGTGTTGGGAAATCGCTAGTCGTAACCAGACTCTGTGAGAAACTCATGCGGTTACCTAATAATGAACGAATGTTTAAGATCAGAAAAGGAACTGAACAGCTTAGTGTTACAGTTCCTCTCCACGGCAGTGTGGCAGATACTCGTCAGATTCTCGACGCATTGTGGCAGCATCCATTAGATGCAAATCTTCCTCTTTCACGGATAATTCACGTTGATGTATCACCTTCAGTAAGTCTGCTGATTAAATTGCATGTCTTTTCTATTCTTACTATTTCCTTTATGAAGGATCACTTCTAATAAGTGCATAATATGATTTATCTAGATCAACGAGGGCCTGGAAACAGTACTGTTCAATTTGGTGGTCCTCGGAGTACTGCAAGACACCAATGGCCGTCTGTGGAGAAGAAGATCATCAGATTTATATGTTATAGAGCGGACAAATAATGTTGATGTTAAGGTAAAGTGTTCCCAAAACTTGTTACGCTTTTATTTAGGAATATTAAGGATAATGGTTAATTATCAATTATTGTTCTTTTTCTAAACTGTCAGGGGCGTAGCGTCCTTTACCCATATACGCACGTGCTTACTAGTGGCAAGGGAATATTACAATTTTCGGGATTTTTTATATTTAATTGTCTTTGCTTGCTTTCTCCAATCAAGGCTTCGTTATCAAAAAGAACCTCAAATAGCTGGAAATCGCATTTCCAAGAGTTATTATTTCAAAATTTCCTGGGGAGGACCCCCCAGACTATCCTTAATACTCCCGCATTCGGCGGTCGCTAGCCCCCCACTCCATAATATGTGTCATGCTCCATGACATGTGCGTACTAGACAAAAAGTCCACGCTCAAGCGTGACTGTACAATGCTAACCGCAATCGACGATTATTTAAAACTTTTTGTTAAAGCAATAAAAAAACTGTTAGGAGAGTTTGCAAATGGTGACTGCCTTTACCAGTATATTCGGGATAGTATGACCTAAGAATCCGCAGAAGTTATAGTGTGTGTAAAGATCTTTGTTTTGGGTACAGGCAGATAGGGCTTGTTAAAGATGACTGGCTGAAGAGTGTATTTTACACTGGGACGGGAGAACTTAGGATTTACTGATCTTTAAAGTGTGWGAGGCAGGGTTTACAAACGATAATAACTGGCTGATTGCTAGTATAATTTAGTGTGCATGTGAAGATYTTTGCATATTCTTATACACATCTACAGCAGAAGATGTACGTCTTAAGGCTACATTCGTTCATGAMAGGATAACATTTAAGCAGTATTGTCGTGTGGATCCTTGATATGTTGTTAATTTGTTGAACATTGTTTCAACGATATTATCGTGTTACCGTGTATTTTTATTAGGTTGCCAGTGATGTCAAGAAATCTTCCTTTTTGTCATTGTTCCCAACAATCGATTGTATTACACCAATACAGACCTTGCAACTCCTCAAGACACCACAAATATCAAGTAAGACTAACTAATCTACAAGATATCATTATTGTACTTACTCTTTAGCTCTATTTGTGTGTTAGCTCGATAGTTTTCTTAGCTTTTCACTTTTTTCGTCAAAGGAAAGGGCCAGTACTGTTTATTAAGGAAATGATGGTGAATAATGATTATGGTATTGCATGTGGAGTGAATGTCTTGAAAGACTCATATTGATGTACARTATTTCCACTTTCTTATCGTTAGCTTCAAGCCCATTGTTCGACAGCGAGGAATTCCGCAGTGTACCTCTACAGAGGGCGTTTCAGTACTTGTTTCAATGTGACAGAGGTCAAAGTCTTGATCGATATCAATATGATCAGAGAAAACAGATGGGAACTCCATTTGAGTGTTTGGCATTGGTTATAAGGTGAGTGATCATAGTAAATTTTATGGCGTCCAGTTAGAGAGGCCTCAAGAGAGCAATAGCTCTTGATATGAAAGCTTCGAAATTTCCAATATGTAACTTTCTATTTTATATTCTTTAGGCACTGTGGTATCAGCGATCCGTCTTGGTCAGARTTAAAGCATTTTATAGATTTTCTCAACTCCCAGCTGCATGACTGTGAACAGAGCTATTTTACCAATCCAGCAAATTTTGATGACCAGTGGATGCAGGGAACTCTGAAAGGATTCAAGTCATTTGTTGTTAGATTTATGGTTACCATGTCAAGGGTAAGGAAAACAAAAATCAAGGCATACACTACTGAACTGAAGGAAGTAGTTTTTTGTTGTTGTTGAAATGATCTGTTGTTAAAATTTGTTTTGTAACTGGTTCAAATCAAGTYTTTGTGTGTGAGAAGGTTGAGTTTGTGGGATGCACGTGTGCCTTACAAATTCAGGATCAAGAGAGGTAACAATAGATGCGAGGTTAATAAAATCAGTGGTCAAATTGGGAGGAGTTACTAAACGTCAAAGTTATCCACATTCCTTATCTAATGTGGTGGAAGTGAACATGCACTAGTCTCTTGTTTCATTATGTAATTCCTAGCGATTTTAACATATTTTAGGATTTTGCCACRCCATCGCTGGATGACAATCCAATCGTTTGCTCAGCCGGAGCCTCTTCCACGAACATCGATGAAGACATTAGACCACTGCAGCTTAGGCGAAAATGGGAAAGCAGGTAAAAAGACTGGCCTTTTCAGTCCTTTAAAACGTCTTTCTGAAGAAAGTCAGACGCATCAAGCAAAACGTCTTCATTTTTTCTTTTGTGAAATGTGATAAAAGCCAAACTAATTTCAGTATCTATGGTTAATATAATTGTTTCTATACCGCATTTTAGCTCTCATCCTTACATATTCTTCAAYCAAGACCGAATTACCATGACGTTCCTTGGATTTCATGTTCAACCTAATGGCAACCTAATCGATCCTGACACTKKTAGAGTCATCGAAGCAGGGTTGATGACAAARCAGTTACAGCAAGGTCTGGCTCTTCAGAAAGTAGACTTAAATGCAAACTACAATGCATGGACAAAGTAAGTAAGAACTCTGTGCGGAGTTCCTACTCTAAAAWGGATTGATTTRAAAGTAWATRATTGTACTATTATGYTSGGGTTTTAAGCYCACAYGAATATTTCACAAGAAAATCCCAAYATTCGAAGTTACCTGAGAAATGTCCTTCACTCTTTTTACTTAGTACAACAATTGTGATAACAGGTCTGTGAATTTTACCCAGCTGGTGGGCTGTAGTAACTGAGCAATCTGCATAGAGCAATCTGTCCAGATATCCATGTAATATTTACCTTTGCAACCCTTTTTGTCAGAAGAGCAGTTTCCTTCTCTGTTCTAGACCTAATCTAAAAAATCTTTTCCTCTATCCTCATGATTTCAGGCTGCAAAGGATTGGAAAACTCTGTATGGTGATGGGGTTAGAGAATGTGTTTGATCCTGATCCAACTTATGAACTCACCATTGATAACATGAAGAAAATACTGGCCATTCACATGAGATTCAGGTGATCTTTTCACATCTATTCGCTATTTTTCTTTGATTTTCAGTATCTCAACTTCATTGTGCATGTATCACCTTCTGTTTTCAGATGTGGTATACCTGTGGTGATTATGGGGGAGACTGGTTGTGGTAAGACTCGTTTGATTCGATACATGTGTGCACTGCAAGCAGGATCAGCAAAACAACGTAACATGTTGCTAATGAAGGTTTGTCTACAATAAAAAAATAGGGATGTTGTCAAACGTTTCACCATTACATCTACTTTAAAGTGTAAATGACCTMAATTTCCCAAATTATTGGGTAATCAATCCTATAAAAATAATTTTTTAATTTTTTAATTTTTTAAGGTTCACATTTTCCGTCAGTGGAAAAATACACTGTCTTTGAGATCAGGGGCTTGATGCGAGTGTGGCGTCTACTAAGGAATCATCTCTCACCTTTCCGGTACCTTGTAAATGTAAATGGTGGAGATTCGAAGGTATTCGTTCCTTTTATAAAAGACTTGTGAATTGTGAGCTGACTCCTAACAATTCTTCCTTACAAGTCGATGTATATCAAGTGAGTACGTTGGTTCCTTAGTATACGTCATATGCTCGACTCAGGCTTCAATGGTAGTTCGCAGCCATTTCCAAATTATCGAAAGCTCTAGAATTTCACAAAAAAAAACGACCTTTTAACCGATTTCCATGAAGGCATCAAAAATTTTTTTTTCCTCCGTGGTGTTTTGGTGTGTTTGGAATAAGGTCGAACGTGCTCTTGACATCGACAAACAGCAGGCAAGAAGAATGATGTTGAAGAAGAAGTCGCCAACGATTTCTTGCAATTCCTTGAAGAACGTTTTAAGGAAGATCACCCTACGGCTGTGGTACGGCCATTGGGGAAGACATGATGATGATAGTAATAGATGGATATGATTCATCTTCAACTTCATCACCAGTGATTGAAGTTTATTTTCAACTAGGTTCACGGTGGTACATCTTACAAGGATATTACAACAAAAGTTGAACAAGCTGAAAAAATGGCTTCAGAGAATGGAAAGAAGGGCATTGATACCGTACTGTTCTTTGATGAAGCCAACACAACAGAAGCACTGGGCATGATCAAAGAAGTCATGGTTGATCGCAGAATTAATGGGCGGCCTGTTGGGGTTGGGCTACGAAGATTGCACTTTATAGCCGCGTGCAATCCCTATCGTCGGTGAGTTCTTAAATCAGTACTCCTTTAGAGGATGCACGACCGAACGTTGCTCTTGGTATCCATGTTAACGTGCACCCATGAAAGACAGTAAATATTGTAGCATTTATAAGATGAAGGTGTTCAGCAATGGTTTGTTTGGTTTCTCCTTGTTTTTGACAGATTAATAGGTATTGTTCATCGTAAATTAAATATCCACCGTAAATTTCAGTTGTGCACTCGATGTTTTGCGTCGACAACCTTTTTTGAAATAGATATATATGTGATTTTTTACAGTATCACGATGTACAGTTTTCTTCAGTTCATTTCAGACTTTTTTATGAATGAATGTTARGAGGCTACCTGTTCACGACCACTAGGAGACATAAGGAATATTTAACAATTATTCGCCGAAGGCGAAGTGATTATCAATGAATATTTACCGAGCGGCGATTCCCACTGAGCCTGAGGTGAATAATTGTTTTAGTATAATTTCATAAGTGAATATTCATAAAAATAGAAAAAAAAGAACTACTGCATTTTCTCGTAAAATGTTATGTGGCGGGGATTGAAGATGGCGGTCGAGGGCCGCTCGGATTGACAGCAAAGTCGTCTTCTTGTAATAATTGGTATTTTTCTTCCTTATGGACACGTAAAACTTTGATAGACACTTGTTTAATTCACTTGTATCCATGTCTTCAAAGMTGACAGTAAATTCAGACTGTTGTTGAAACCATTCTGTCAAAAAATTTATCGAGTAAAATGTAAACAAACCAGGCGAAAACATACAAATTTCAGCCTGTTTGACGTAAAACGATAGATAAAAATAAAGTAGTTTTAGACAAGGTTTTTATTATTAAATAAACAAAACTTACCTGTAAAAAGTTTTAATCCAAGTTTTTTTAATCCAATTGTTTAATCCAACGACTCGCGGACGACGCCATTTTGCGAAAAAATCCAATATTCACCTATAGGTGAACATCGCTCAATGAAGCGTCAAATTCGACCAATCAGCGCGCTAGAATTATGATATTCACTTATGAAATTATACTAAATAGTATTACGCCAAGCAAGAAAAAAGGCACAGTAACCTACTCTAATTTTTTCTATCTACAGACACACTGATAAGATGATTGGAAAATTGGAATCCGCTGGTTTGGGATACAGTGTCAAAGCTACTGAAACTAAAGACAAACTTGGTAACCACTGAATCGCATTTTTGATATGCATTACAATCTCTAATGTTTAGGCCTCAACCAAACTAGAAACGTTGAGCGACCCAACATTACGAATCAATGTTGAGTGAACCATTGTTGGATTGTCAAACAAACTGTTTAATGGCAAGAAACAAGAAACCAATAATACTGAACGGTGTTCGATAARGTCGTTTGCCATTAAACGGAGAATAACACATAATGTTGAATGATCCAGCGTTTTTCTATTCTAACAAAGTTGTGATTCCAGGAAAAATCCCTCTTCGTCACCTGGTTTACCGAGTCCATGCCCTTCCAGCAAGTATGAGGCCTCTAGTGTGGGACTTCGGTCAGCTAAAACCTGAAATAGAAGAACTATACATCCGTCAGATAGTAAACCGATTTGTAAGTATCTCTACAAGTCCATCCTAATAATATTCCTAAGAGCTGCAGTATGACTATGTTTGTCTTCCAGGTTGTTATTGATAAAGTTATCCCTGGTAACGAACGTCATGTACAAGCGATTGCGCGAGTTCTTGCAGCTGCGCAGAAGTACATGAGGAAACAGCAGGTTAGACTCATATTCTACTTACAAAAAGCAAAACAGCAACAACAACAATAAAAAATAAACAAGCAAAACAAAACAAAAACAAAATCCCACAAAAAAAAAACATGAAAATTAAAATGCAGTACCTTTATCTCTTAATTTGTACTATACAGGATGAATGCAGCTTTGTTAGTCTTCGAGACGTTGAAAGAACAATGACAGTGATGACATGGTTTTATCAGCATCACAAATACCTTCGACCTCAAGCCCAGCAACATGACAGTGACGATGAGCAAATGTCAGATAGTGAAGAGGAAGTACCGGTAATTTTTACTTTCATATAATCTGGGAATAATATATTTTTATATTCCTCTTTTTATTTTTTTCTTATCGTATTAGATTCTTAGCCTGTTGTTTCCTCTAATTTCTTTTTCTCTCCTTTTATTAATTCCCGTCTATCATTCAATGTTCCTTTGTTCTTCAGCCTGTGGATATGGTCACGTGGTCTCTGTTGTTGAGTCTCGGTGTTTGCTACCATGCAAAGCTACAAGATCGAAAGGTTTTTCGAGATTGTGTCATAAAATCATGTTCTGTTCCTCTTAAACCCAATGGTGGACAAAAAGAAATGCTTCAAGAAATTGACAGGTATTAAAGCTATTAAAGGCTCAAGCATCCTTTCTTTTAGTTAACTTCGATCGATGCATGAAAACGATCAAAATTGGTGATAACACCAACAATAACACCAACGTTTTCAAATGATTCCGGTATGTGTATTGAATTACTTCATAGGTGTCAGAAGGTATTGATCAATGAACTGAACCTTGGACCCAACATTGCCCGTAACACTGCACTCAGYGAGAATGTRTTTATGATGGTCGTCTGTATTGAGCTTCGCATTCCACTCTTTGTCATTGGAAAACCTGGCAGCTCAAAGTCGCTGGCCAAGACTGTGGTGGCTGACAATATGCAGGGAGAAGCTTCGAAGTCTCCATTGTTTAAAAGGTTTAAGCGGGTTAGTTTGAATGTTCATCCTATTTGTTTAGTTATAGAAGATTGTTATTGATACGACATGCCCCATGATCCACCCAACACAATGACATGTGCAGGCATAATGGTTTGCAATAACTCTAAATGTAGTACCTCATCATGAAATGAAATTTCCATAGGCTCATATGGTATCGTACCAGTGCAGTCCCCTCTCTACCCCTGAAGGRATTGTAGCAACCTTTAGACAGTGTAGGAGACTTCAAGAAAACAAYCCTGGAGGTCGCTATGCATCAGTAGTGGTACTAGATGAGGTCGGYCTTGCTGAAGATTCGCCTYTATTGCCACTCAAAACCTTACACCCGTTATTAGAAGATGGAGTGACATCATCAGATGACATCATCGAGACTGACGAGAAACCAACGCGAGTTGCTTTTATAGGGATTTCAAACTGGGCCCTAGACCCCGCCAAGATGAACCGAGGGTTGATGTTRATGCGTGCTGARCCAGACAAGAAAGAGCTAGAGGAYAGTGCATGGTAAGTGACACCTTTCAATACGTTTTTAAGATGGATTTTTACTTCTCACCTCACTTGTCAATCATTGGAGTGTTAACATCTTAAATGCACTTTGTTTCAAATTCCTGTTAGATTTATATAGTTTTCCTCGTATCCCTTGCAA